CTCTACCACTTGAGCCACAGCGCCACTTCCGGCTTTTTTTTCTTTTTTCTTATGTGGTGCTGAGGAATCGAACCCAGGGCCTCAGGCATGCAAGGCAAGCGCTCTACCACTGAGCCAACTTCCCAGCTCTATGTCTTGAATCTTAAGCTTTATCTGAGGAGCTAGAAGAGGTTTTCTTCCATTCTATGGGTTATCTCTTAATTCTGATCAGTTTCCTTTTCTATCTTGAAGTACTTGAATTTGATATGATCCCATCATCAATTCTTGCCTTTTTTTACCTGAGCAATTGGAGTCCTGTTCAAACAGGCATTGCTTCTAGGTTTTTCTCTGTGTGTCCTCCTCGCTGTTTCTAAGTTTGGGGTCTTATATTTAGGCCTATAATCCATTTTGAATTATTTTTTTGTGCAGGATATACTGATGTAACTATAACCTCTCTGTACAGTATTTTTACAATAAAAAAAAACATAAAAAAGATAGTGGCAGAGCTTCAGTCTTCTATAAGTGGATATACAGAATTCCCAACACCATTTGTTGAAGATTGTCTTTTCTCCAATATATGCCTTTTGCTCCTTTTTTGGAAGTCAGATGGCTATAGCTGTGTAGGTTTTGTGAATTTCTACTCTACTCCATTGGTCTATGAATCTCTCTTTATGCCAATACCATGCTGTTTGCCACTATGGATCTGAAGTATTTTGGTAGCACTAGCATTGCTCATTTTGCTCAGTATTGGTCTATCTAGCTGTGGTCTTTTATGCTTCCATATAACTTTTAGGATTGATTTTTCCATTTGTGTGAAAAAATGACATTGGAGTTTTTAATGGAACTTACATTGCATTGGTAAATTTCTTTCAGAAGTTTAAGTGTTTTTCCCAGCATGAATTCTGCCAATTCATGAACATGGGAAGTCTTTCTATCTTCTGGCATCTTCTTCAAGGTTTTATAATTTTCAACGTAGAGCTCTTTCACTCTCTTTTTTAGGTTTATGGAAATGGTTCTGCCTGAAACAGAAGTGCATCATCACACTGTAATATGGTTTTCATGAGGAAATATTTCCAAGGGGACACTGGATTAGGGACAAGGAAATGCCAGAATACATCCATCTAAGCCCCAAATTATAAAGCCTATAAAATACATACAGCTAAAAACATACATACAACTATCAGATGGAGTCCATCCCAGTTCCCATAAGCCACAGAGCCACATCACAGCATTTACTGCCTCCTCTCCATGACTATTCCAAGCACCTCCACACTTTGCTCTGTGCTCTGAGACAAATCACTCCCTGCTTCTGAGTCTCATTTCTCCTCTTCCTAAAGAAAAGAAGCATGAACTAAGGGTCCTGTATAATCTGTTATAATCTATTCTTCTACTCCATGGAATTTCATTATCTCCTAGTAACCATATTTGCTCTTCATACTTTAATTCTTGGGGAGTCTGGGGACTCTTGAGTTTTTTAAATACCATGTCCAAATGCCAAGAGGAACTCTTTGGACACATAGTCCTGGTGACTCATGGACTACGGTTGAAGGCCTACTGTTTGCTGAATGGACCTTCAGAATGGCCTAGAGTCAAGGGAGAATTTTGTCTTTCAGGAGATTCTAGCAACATCTATAGACATTTTGGGCTGCCACAACTTGGGGTGAAGGGTTTCTCAAAAATCAGTATAAACCAATAATGTTGTTAAACATTAGATGTGTGGGACAGCCATCAACAACCAAGAACTATTAGGCCCTGAGGTTAAAAAACCACTGTGGATTCACAGCTAGCTCCCAACACCCTAGAGTTGTCACAGTGGTAATAGTTATATCACAGAAATTGGCACACTCTGTAAATCTAGGCAACTTAATTCTGAGAAGGTAATTGTGAAATGTTGGTCAGTTCTCATCGCTGTGTGGCCATACATAGGAATTCTAACATCTGATGTAACCAGATTCCAAAGTGCTTTCAGCAAAGGTCATGCTGGAAGAGATGATTTTACTAATGGTTGAAAAGCCTGACCTTATAATATTCTATGGCAAAGATGAAGGAACATGGTTTGAAGGATACCACGGACAGAGATTTAAAGACTCTCATGGCTTGTTTTGTTTGCATTGTTTTTAATATAGCCTGCTTCCTCCTAAAAATAATTTCAGGGAGAGAGCAAATGAAAGGGTAACATTGTCCAAAAAGACATGTACTCTTTACCTGGCTTGTATAAACTGTAACCCCTCTGTACATCACTTGAATCATAACAATTTTAAAGTTTTTTTAAGAAACTTAAATGTAAGAGGACAATGAAAAAACAAAAGTCTTGTTTATTAAATAAATAAGTTTATGGAATAAAGAAGTTGATATATCTAATTTGGGAACTTCGACATGTAAAAATAAAAATCAACACCTCGCATGTGTGTAAAACCTAAGGTCAGTGTTCTGTACCTGGCCTGACCAGCTGTGCGATGCTTTTCCTGGTGGGGCCTGGAGGCCAGCAAAGCTAACTGTACGCAGATGAGGAAATGATGGCTCTCCTCTGGCCTTCCAGGGCTCTGTACCAAAAACAGATGGCCTACACAAACTCAAGGCACATTGAGGCTTACCTCCTTTCCCAATTTTTCTCTTGATGGCTCTCTTGATATTTCCCTGTGGTTGTTATGGCAAAATCTGGCACTGGAATTGCTCTGGAAACAAATAAGAAATATGGAACTGTTTGTGGAGAGAAGTTCAAGACCCTATGCACACTTAGTTTGGGTTATAAATGCTCATAGTAAAACAAAGCATTGACTCATGAAACCCAAAACAAACAGAAGAATGTTTTAATCCCCATTCAAAGACTCTTTCTTTGTTGCAGAGGTGACCAGCGAGACAGCTATTTGTTCTTATAAACAAGGTCACCACAATGAACTAATAGTGGAGTGCTGACCAATGGGATACTGATCACCTTGTGCCAAGATACACTCTGCCTTCAGTATGTTTGATTTCTGGAGCTCAAAGTGCTAACTCCACCCAGAAGAAATTTTCCCATTGCAAGAGTTGGTTGTTTTGTCCAACCTCACTGAAGAGAAGCCAGGACTACAGCCGGTTACACTCTGACACCAACAGGCTGGAAAAGCTTACGAGCACATGGAGGCCTCTGACACACCTCGGACTCACATGTACCAGTCATCTCTTTGGTTTGGTCCAGCTTTTTCTAAGGCCTCTACATCTGACAGCTCTACCTTCCATTGAGCTCAGCCGCATCCAACTAGAATATTTCAATATTGTAGTACTCCTTTTCAGTTTTCCCATCTCCCTCCAAGATGGCCCCAGGGGAAGAGTTGACCTCATGACGGCTGGAAAGAGCAGGAAGGGCCTTGCTCCAACTATTCATATATGCAGAGGTCCTTGTACCTTTCTCCAGCTCCTCTAGTTTTCACCCACCCTAGAAGTTCAGTTGACTGGCCAACATATGCTGGGTGTTATCTTGGCATAGCCAGAGCTTGGCTAACTCAACTCCCTTAAGAATTACTGTTCTCCTGGTATCTTACCCTGTTCCCCATTTAGTCTCCATCTTGGGCAGTTCCAATCTGGCAACCCCTATGTAATCTCATCAGCCAGCACTGCTCATGATACAGCACACTTGCTTTAGGAGCTTGAGTGTAACTTCTAGATCTTTCTTCTAGCAGGGCTAGCAGCCTCTACACTAAAGATGGCTTATTGCATAAGCTACTTGTCATCCTGAATCTACAAGTGATCCCCTGCGAGACATACCCCTTGGAAATTGTCTGCACCCACCAGACAATAAACACCTCAATGGTAAACATAAATATTATTTACCTGGTTATTATTACATAATCATACAATTAGAACTAATGGAATTAATAAAGATCATTATTATCCTCTGAACACATTAATGTGGATTCTAGTACTCGTGGATACTCAATACATTTCCAGCTGAGTCCATAATCTGATTCGACTGTTTTCATTTCAAAACTGTAAACCTAACTCTGCAATCTAGATAGATTGGAAGAAGGAATATGGGAACCTCAAAGAGCTGCAGAGAAAGCATAGCCAACAGGCTATTGCAAGCAGATGGGGTAGAGAGGTGCTCTTCATTCACTTGAATGGTCTAGTGGTTAGGATAAAATACAAACTAAGAATTAAAGTTGTCCACAACCAAGAATTCAGATATTGCTAGTCTTGTCATCCCTAGACCCAGACTGCTAATTGGCTTCCACATAGTTTGAGCCTTCTTTCACCTTCCAAAGACATTCTTGTCATCCAGTCACTGAGTCTTGGCAGTGCAGAGGACACACTGAACCATTTGAGTTCAGTCTAGCAATGGCCATGAACAAGATGCCGGGATCTCTGTGCTTCAGGTTGAAGTACTCGTCACCAAATTGCTCCCCATACATGGACTTGCCACAGGGGCCATTAAGAGAGAGAAGTCACCACCTGAACACACAAATTCTGGTAGGAGCCCTTTGAAATGTTTTCTCTCTAATGCTCAGACACTGGAAATTTCCACTGTCTTTTTGTTGTTGTTGTTGTTGTTATTGTTGGTGGTGGTGGTCATGAGGCTTGAACTCTGGGCCTGGGAGCTATCCCTCAGCTCTTCAGCTCAAGACAAGTGCCCAGTTGAGCCACAGCACCACTTCCAGTTTTCTGTTTATTGGAGATAAGAATCTCACAGAGGGGCTGGGGGCTTAGCCCAGCGGAAGGGCACCCGCCCGACGCATGCAAGGCCCTGGGTTCAGTCCTCAGCCCTGGGGAAAAAAAAAAGAATCTCACAGAATTTCCTACCCAGGCTGGCTTTGAGCTACAATCCTCAGATCTCAGCCTCCTGAGTAGATAGAATGACCAGGCGTGAGCCACCAGCACCTGGCTTCCACTGTTTTTGAAACTTTGCCTGAAAGCAGATGAAAAGCAGTTAGCCTAAAGGCTCACCATCAAAGCTGGTATTGAAGAATACAGGGGGGTTGATCATAGCTGGGGGCAGGCAGCTCCAGGGGACAGGGGCTCTGCAAAGCTAGTCCATGATTTTCAGTCTAGAGTCCCATAAGGATGGGGCCAGTGTTTAACTTGCTAATCATTGTATCTATGCAATGGCCTTCTCAAAAATGATAGGTGCACTGGGTGCCAGTGGCTCATGCCTGTAATCCTAGCTACCCAGGAGCTGAGATCTGAGGATCAAAGTTCAAAGCCAGCCTGGGCAGAAGGACCGTGAGACTCTTATCTCCAATAAACCACCAGAAAACCGGAAGTGGCACTGTGGCTCAAGTGGTAGAGCACTATCCTTGAGCTGAGGAGCTGAGGGACAGCGCCCAGGCCCAGAGTTCAAGCCCCACGATGGACAAAAAATAGGTGTAAAAAAGGGCTGGAGGTATGGTTCTGCAGTAGCGCATCTATCTAGCAAGCATAAGGCCCTGAATTTAAATCCCAGTGGAGGAAGAAGAAAGAAGAGAAGGAGGAAGGGGAAGTGGAGGAAGAAGGGGAAGAAGATGAGGAAGAAGGGAGGAGGAAGGCAAGAAAAAGAAAGAAAGAAAGAGAGAGAGAGGGGGGACAGAGGGAGGGAGAGAAGGAGGGAGGGAAGAAAGAGTAGGTAAGTTGAAACCTTGAAGGGAATAAGGCAATATCCAGGGCCCATGCAGTAGGAAGAAGTTAAGTAGCAGCAGAGGAGAAGCTTTGAAGCATAGAACGTCTTGTGAGGTAGAAGCATTGGAGTATCCCAGAAAGATAAAAGGTGCCAGGGTGTGTCCCATAATGGTGGAACTCATTCTCTATTCTTTTTTTTTAATTTTATTTTATTTGTGAACATACTGTACAGAGGGGTTACAATTACATGGGCAGGATAATGCGTACATTTCTTACCAAGCATTGCAGCCTCCTCCTTTGTTTACCCTTCACATCCCTTCCCAGCCTCCTCCCTCCCCCCCAATCCCAATCCTTCTCCTTCCCCCTCCTTCCCCCCCCCCACAGACGTTGTAAAGCTCGTTTTGGACATGACAACTTGTACTTCTCATTGTTGCAACAGGTCCTTAAACAACTGGTTTTTCCCCATCTCCTCCACAAGTTATACTGACATCAAATATAGTGAAAGCAGGGGTTATACTGTGGGGGAGGGACATACAAAGCAACAAAGAGATAATCTTATAAATGCATTAGAAACACATGCATGAAAGAAAAAACATTAAAATACATCTCTAAGGGTTCATTTTCCTGACATCACATTATCTGACCTTTTCCGATTGACTCATACATATACTAGTTATTGCAATAAGGGAAACCATGGGACCTATGTTTCTTTGGGCCTGGCTTACTTCACTTAATATAATTTTTTCCAAGTTTTTCCATTCCTAACAAATGGGGCAATGCTCATTCTCTATTCTTCAAGACACTTAAAATCCATCTTCCTTTCTGCAACTATCTCCAAACAATTGTAATGTTTAGAGAATCATGTGGTACTTTTAGGGGTTAACTTGAGTGGGCAAAGAATATCCACATAGTTGGCACAGCATTGCTTCTGATATATCTATGAGAGTTGGGCCAGGTAAGGATGATCACTCTCATCTAATGTACGTGGGTAACATCCAGTGGGCACAAAGAAGGTCCAATTAGAACACAAAGGTAGAAGAAAGGTAAAATTTTCTCTCTTGAGGAGCTGGGAGACACCTCTTCTCCTGCCCTCTGATGCCAGAATTCCAACTTCTCAGGCCTTTGAACTTGAGTTAAGAGTTTCACCATTGGCTCCCATTTTTCCTCAGTCCTTTGAAAAACGGCCTGAACAACACGGTTGGCTTCCCTGGTTCTCTTGCTTGCAGATTCCATCCCACAGGATTTCAAACTCTAAAATCTCATGAGCCAATTCTCATAATAAATCCCCTCAGCTGTCTGTCATCTGCCTCCCCATCTCCTATTATTTTGGACTAATTACTAAAAGAAAAAAACGTGAATGAAAACAATATTGCTCAGTACCTTTCCTGACACAACAGAAGTAATTAGAATTTATATGAGTATTTATTTATAAAGTTTCTTTTTTCCCAAGTACTGAAGTTTGAACCAGGAGCTTGCGCTTCCTCAGTAGGCACTAATCTACTTAAACCCTCTACCTGGTTTCCACCATTCTATTTTGTTAACAAAAAGTAGAGGACTTTTGACTGGTATGTCAGCACACTGCTCAGACTTTGTAAGGAATGTCATTACCAGTGTTAAAAGGCTTACCTTTCCCAAGGAACAGAGGGTGCAGCAAGGGTAGATGTGGGCTGTTCAGCTCAGAGATCTTCCATCTGACTCCTCAGGAGATTCTGGACCAATAAGTACAAGCATTGCTACATACATGCTTCAGGACTTTTACAGAACTTCAGGTAATCATAGCTAGAGAAGAAGAGAGGCTGAAGAGCTGCTACTGCTGACTTCTATCCATTCCCAAAATTTGGGATGAATCCAGCAAGGTTTTCAGGCAGAGGGCTGGGGTGCAGGTCTTCTCTCTTCTACTGGAACTGCCCAATGGGGAGTGTCCATCAAACCTGGAAGTAGCCAGAAGTCTCTTTCCACAGTCCTACTCCAAGTTTTCTGGTAACCAGGTGCCCACCGCTACTAACTGGGCTTTCATTTCACGAGCAGTATGTTTGAGTTCCATATCTTCCTGTATAGAAATGCTAACAAGGACTCATCTCCAAAAATATAGGCACCTGTGAGGGTGGGCCCTGGAAAGAGAGAACAGAGGAGCCCAGAAACAGGGAGGGCCCTGGTCTCCTCTGGCTGTACCCTTTGCATGGGTCTAAGGGTGGGGGAGACACAGAATGTGCCCACTTGGCACATGCATCTCATCTTCTAGATCATGCCTTGTGCATCAGAACTGTGGGATTCTCTGTCCACCTGGTCTCAAGATGATGTCTAGAACCTTCCCCAGGTCTCTTCTGTCTAGGGCAGACCATACTCCAAGATGTGCTCTTCTAAGCCCAAGAAGTCAACTCAAGTTGGCTGTCTGCAGGAAGACAGCTTGGATGTTCAAACTGAGGTATCCACATGAATACTTACACTGACCCTCGAGACATGAGACAGATCCCAGGGTCTGAGCCTGAGCCATCACCCTTCTGCCTGGTTCTCTGGGAGCCTACCAACTCTGACTTTACAGTCTTCAACATAGGCACATTTGCCTTTAGCTGTTTATCAGCAACATTTATAACTTACAAACATTTAGACATAATATATGACCCACAGTTTTCACACTTTCCACAAAAGTTATAGGAGGGTTTAGGGAAAGAAAAAAATAAGGAAGAGATAGGAGAGTGGATCAAAAGGGACAAATTGTTTCTTTGCTATGTGGTGCTTACAACAGTGCTTTTCAACAGTCAGTCCTTTAGTAGTTGTTGATGGAGAAAGGAAGGAGGAACAGAGGGAGGGAGGGATTTGTGTTAAGCTTTTTATACTTTCAGAAGTCACAGAAACAGACGCCTCAATCACTCCACCCGTGTGTGCTTAGACAAGTTATTCCTCAGCAGTGAGGAAAAGTGGAAGCTATGCTTGTCACACAGCAAGAACAAGTGATTATTAACAATATCATGTTATTCTCCTCATAAGTACTGTTCATGATATATGCCACCTTCAGGAACCTATTTACTTGGTAAGTCATATGCTGTACATGTTTGTTTCAGTCTCCGAAAGACAGAGAACTATTTCATGATCCCAAATTTAGCCCCAGCAACATTGCCAAAGGCCCCCTCCCACCTCAGTACCTGCTGCTTGTGCCCTCCTGTACACTTGCCACATCTGTAGTCAGCAGCCTGACTGCCAAGTGCTGGCACCAGCATGCCTGCCCATGAGGACACCTGCAACCCTCTAGAACCTCCTTTGTCATTTGCCTGGCAGGATAGCCTTCAACCAGTGGCAGTGGGTAGAATACTCCAGCCCTCTCATTTCTAGGGAAAGAGAACTGTGAGGTGCATGTTCTGCTCTGGATCTCAGCTGGACCACTTTCTAGGTACCCTCGATGATACCTGGCTTGATGGGAAACGCTGTACTGCTACATGAATCGACACGGATGCGGCCATGCCTCAAAGGTCCATGTTCCTTGCAGGTGCTGTGTTCTGGGCCTTTCTACGCACTGGATATTCTACAACTGATCCCCACATACTTCTTCAACAACTTTTTCCACAAACATTCCCTGAGAAACATGAAGATTCTATAAAACCAAATCCAACAACAATGTCACCTCACAAACTAATAATATTCATTATCTCTGCTCTTTCCCACAATGGATGTCATGAGAATTCGAATCTGATGCTTCTACTCACATACAAAGCCAGAAAACACCATAGGTTTGTTGTTGTTGTTGTTGTAAATTTTCTCAAATGTTTTGAGTGTGGTAACCATGACTACTCAAAGTGCATCCAACAGGGTATTTGCTCCCAAGTGCTTTTGTACTTGGCAGTGACCTCGAGACTTGACAAATATGTTGTCTCCATGTTTTTATTTATTATCTCATAATCCTTTGGGTGGTGACACACTCTGAGATTATAACAAATATATTAAGATTCCAATATGAGTGGAATGTAACAAAAAAGATGACCTAGATCTCGGGTAGGTGAAAGCCAACCCAAACAGTGGCTCAAGTGGGCAGCTGTTTGCAGTTAGGCCTAATTAACAAGTTTTAAACACAGCATTGCTGGGGCCTCTTTGAAGTGAGCTGCTGCACGAAGGTTTTGCTTGAAAGGGGTTTCCTGATGGGAACCAGTCAAAATCCACAGCTGAACAGCTTAACTTCCTATTTTGACTTAAGTGCCATGTAGAGTTCACAATTTTAAATCACTTTCCTCGTTCTGTGTATAAATATTTCAAACATCTGGGAAGGCATCTTTGCTGAAAAGGACATTTGTGAAACCAGGCAGGAGGAGAACAGGCAGCAGGGCTTTGCCTTCTGCTGAACTGCCAGTCTCTATGAAAATGCAAATTATAAACACTTTCTGTAGTCACTAAAGCATAGAAAAGCATCGTCTACTCTGAAATTAAAGCTGCATCAGGGCAAGGATTTTTAGTTGATCGTGACATCTCTGATGCCTAGGACCTAGACTGGGGTATAATGCATCAGTTGAATGAATGAATTAATTAATTAATTAATTGTAATTTACCAAATAAGTACACAATGCATGACTGAAGCAATAAAATGAACAAATTATATGCATATGCTTGGTAAAACCCAAGCCAAATTCCCTAACCCATGTAAGTATGAGTAACACAAAACATATCTACACAGAGAAAAAGGAAAATTTATCTTTATTGTCCTATTTATTTTTCTAGAGTGCCTATCTGGGGATTATTTGATATTTAAAACTTAGCCTTGTTATGTAACTCTGAAAAAAGGGATGCCAGATGTGGCAGAATGCACCTAGCAGGTGCCTGACACACAACACATATTTGGGGAAAGAGCAAAAAAGTAAAAAAAAAAAAAAAAAAAACTACATAATGCTTGTTTCCATAGTTCCTGGTCAGAAATATGACATCTCAGTATTCCGCTCCTGTGTATTTCCTAAGTCCTTATTAGTAAATAAATACTGGGCCCAGTCCACAGAGAGTTTTGGGAGAACCAAGGTCATCCTCTTCCAGTCCTCATCGCTGAAGTAGAAAAGCTAATGGTTTTGTTGCAAGTGAAACTAAATATCTAGAAAAGGCTTTGCAACCTGATAGGTTGCCAGTTACAGTGCAGATTCATTGCTCCCAACCCCAAAAGCTTCCTTGGGCCTTGGTTTCCACCTAAGATTCTGCATCTTGACTACCACCTTGTGATTCTAATTTAGGTGATAAACTACTACAAGACAGTGGGGTTGAAGAAAAGCACTCTGAAAGGTGACAAATCTTCATCTCTAGATGAAGGATGATTAGTGGCATTCTGGGTATACTTCAGGGTAGCATTCTCTGAACAAGATTTTGGCTTGCTTTTATACCTACCTGACTAGGGTAGGTGGTTTTCCCAGGGTGAGGCATGTCCATTGCACTTGGAGTAGGATGATCCTTGCAATTTTCTCCAAATGTGGGATATTCCACTTCATAATGTGTGGTCATGGGGGTGGAGACTGTATTCACACTCTGCTCTGGGGAAGGGGAGAGACCTTAGCTTACTTTAATTCAAAAGAGAAAGCTGGGGGCTGGGAAGGTGGCTCAGTGGTAGAGCGCTTGCCTTGCATGCCTGAGGCCCTGGGTTCGATTCCCCAGCACCACATAAGAAAAAAGCTGGAAGTGGCGCTGTGGCTCAAGTGGTAGAGTGCTAGCCTTGAGCTGAAGAGCTGAGGGACAGCGCCCAGGCCCAAAGTTCAGGACCCAAAAACAAAAAACAAAAGAGAAAGCTGTAACATATTCTCTTTTCTGTGATAATAGGTCTCTGTTTCTGTCTCTGTCTGTCTGTCTATCTGTGTATCTGTCTGTCTGTCTCTCTCTCTCTCTCTCTCTCTCTCTCACACACACACACAATATGCAACAATCTGAGGGCTGTAGCTTCTCAAAAGCAAAAGGTTCACTATAAAGAAAGGGTTTTTGAGTAGGAAATTTTTCCTTAAAGAGTTTACAGCTTGCAAAGTTTTGTAGAAATACAAAAGAAGATAGCTAGAAAATGGTGGTTGGAAATATTGATGCTAAAGAAAATAGTAAGGGACAGTAGCTCTGCAGGTGAAATCACCATGGGACAAGGCCTCAGGATAGAAGGGAGGCCCTGAAGCAGTGCTGGCCTCTGCTGAAGTACTGAGATGGCAAGTTCCTGCCCCTGCTGATTTACAGACTTGTAATGTCTCTGTGCACACAATAGCAGGTTTCAGAGTCAATGGTGTACGCCTAGCAGACAACCTGGAAACCTGGAAAACCCAAGACAAATGGTCTGTTAACATTAAGGAACTTGGTGGTTTAAATCCTCAGTATATCACGCCAGCATGAAAGGATTTCTCTGTAAACAGAGAAGCAAGGACCACACTGCCTTATATCAAGGCCTTTTCAGCTTGTTTTAAAGGGGGCATTATTTTCCAGTGGGCATGTGGTTTCTCTACAATGTCTCTCTCTCTGTCTCTGTCTCTCTCTCTGTCTCTCTCTGTGTGTCTCTCTCTCACACACACACACACTCATGTATAGAAATGGCAGGTTCTTAAGTAATAAACAGCTAAGGCTTTTTGTTACACTTGGGAAACCTTAAAGCGGATATAGATGATCTGCAACTCATACAGTGCACACTGAGAGATTTCACTGTCTGAAGAAGCTGGCATTTCCCTTCCCTCCAACTTCCTGCCCTGCAACCATTAAGCTATTTGCTTTTTGATGTCTCTGAATTAACAAAGGTACTTGCATTTCTGTTGTTGTTGTTTACTTAGCATCAAATATATTTTTAAAATTCCAAGAGGGAAGTTTGTATAAGCATTTGACATCAAGTATATAACATATATTAGGTTCAAATCTAGTTCTGTTGACTCCTAACTATTAACGCGTCTTTATGACTACCATGGAATGAGCATGGGAGGGTTGATCCAGTGGTCAGTACAGCTGTTTTGTGCTGTGCTGACAGTCCTATACGAGTCCACTTTTCAAAATAATTGAAGTAATTAACATAATAAAGAGAAAAGGTTTATTTTTGCTCATCATTCTGGAGTTTCCAGTCCATGGTCTGTTGTACCTGTTACTTTGAGCCTGTGGAGAGAGTATGTTATGGTGAGAACACATGATAGAGTAAAACCCGTGTCTAGGAACCAGGGAAAAGGAGAGAATGGGTCCTGGGTTCTAGGATCCTCTTCTGCAGGATTCTCTCAATGACCTAGGATCATCCTCCAGGCCTCACAGCCTGAAGGTTCAACAACCTCCCAATAGCACAACCCTAGGGACCAAGCCTTTAACACACGGGCCTTTGGGACATTGAAGATATACACCACAGCATTTCACCCCTGGCTCCCAAAAGTTCATACCCATCTTACTATGTAAAATACATCTAGTCTATTCTCAAGAGTCCCCAAAGATTTAACTACTTTAGCATTGTCCAAAATCTCCCCTGAGATTCAAGGCCAACTCATTTGTCAACCTCACCAGGAAAAAAAAATGGAGGAAAGATAGAGGAAACAAAGAAAACTTATGTATTTCTAATACACCACGGTAGGACAGGCACAGGGTACACATTCCTATTCCAAAAGGAAGGGACAGGAAAGTAGGAAGGAGCAATTGGCCCAAAGCAACACTGAAGCCCAACAGGGAATCTATTGAATCCTGACTCTGTATTCCAGCATATGGGACACATAGCAGCAGGAGGTGACTTCTCAAGGTCTTGGTTAGCCTCATCCCTGCCGTTTTGTTGGTTACAGCTCATATGGCCTCTCTTGGGCGGGTGCCTTAAGGTCCCTTGATGGGTGTTGAATATCATTAGCACTACTGCTCTCCTGAGCTCTCTACTGCAACTTTGGCCTTGTGACCATAACTTCATGCATTGCCAACCAAGTACTACCTGCAGGGACTGTGACCCTGCCACAAGCTACCTGCTCTCACAGGACTTCCTTTGAAATCTCAGTGGAAGCCTCCATGACCTCATAACTCGTGCAACCTTTCGTGCCTGCACTACATGAATGACATCAAGGTTTGGTACTAGCATGAGCCATACCCAGGCTCCACCTGACCTACGTCTACAGCATGCCCTGTGTGTCTGGGGCCTGACCAAGGGAAACATCCTTAAGTGGTCCTGGGAGGACAGGGCTGTTTTTGAAACCAATTCTTGCCTGGAAAGTCTCCCACACAGGCTTGCATTTCTACATCTCTAAGTCTGTGACAGAGGCTCCCTCCTCAAAAAAACAAAAAACAAAAAAACAAAACCATACTGTGTCTTTCTCACTACTGCATATTCAGCCAGGAAAAGTGGGTAGGCTGGGATGGGGAATATTCATTATCTCCTTACTCAAGGGCTCAGGATTGCATGGAAAAGAGAAAAAGAAAGTTCCCCCCAACAGTGAAATGCTTGCTCAGGTCATCCTCATTCATATCACCTGCACTCACAGCGGACTGCCCAGATCTTGTCACGTGGCCAAACCATGTGTTGTTGGGTAACTACAACAACAAGGAGACTAATAAGTGAAGCCCTTCTCTGTGCCTAGAAGTTGACGCTGTGCCTTATGTTCCTGAAAGAATCTGGAGCAGGCTTTTCCATGTGCTCATAACGTACAATGTGATTTTAATTCACCAAAAAATAAGGACTTTCAGCATTCACTAAATTCATGCTAAGTGTAGCAAGACTTTCTAATACCTTCACACACAGAAACGAAGTTCCATCTCCACTAGAGGAATGGAGTTTGGGCATCTAAGCAATGTGGCCACGTGGGAGTTTCAACTGCCTGTAAGCTGGTGTTCCTAGCGTAGATAGCAGTGGGTCTGATCACAATTGGTAATATAGCCCAACAAGGCTTAGTGACAAGTCTGGGTCTGGTCTTGGTCAAACTGTTTGGACAGCCATCCTTGAAGGTGTTTAAAAAAACAAAAAATGTTTTCTAACCATTTTTTTTCAGTTCAGTAGGCCATCATTCACCTACTAGAATGGATTAGACTAAAAAGACTGACAAGCTCAAATGTTGGTGAGAACCACTAGAACTCTTGTGCATTGCTAGTGAAAGTGTAGACTGGCGAATCCCTTCAGAAAACTGGTGTCCGAATGTAATTCTACTCCTGGGTATATATTTAAGACAAATCAATGCATATGTCCACACACAAAAAAAGAATTATTCAAGAATGTTCATGGTAACATTAGTCATACCAGTTCAGATTTGTACCATGTGTTTCTTTGCTCTGAGAGGAGTGACTTCTCAGGACATAGTCTTCTCATGTGGAATCCAGGAGCACAAGGCAGCTTAGGAAACTTGCCATGCCTGCTGAAGTCTCATGTAGAACTGACACACAATTGCTTCTGTCCTCTTTCTATTGGCCAATGCAAGACACATGGCAAAGCATTTGCTGAATATTTACTACAGGCCTGACTTCTCATGAATTCTAATCTTCATAACAATGCAGTAAGGTGGCCACAATGACTATCCCCTTTATTGTAAGCAGTCTCTCAAAGATGACAAGACCAGTGAATGCCTAGGATTTGAATGTAGAGAATGTAATTCTGAGGCCTCTCACACTGAACCAGGAGATAGAAAAGCCCAGAGTGTGCCTTCATTTCACAGTGCAGCCAGTGCCAATATCTGTGAAATACATCGGGGCTTACCCAAGTAACTTAACTAGCCTCCAATTTCTTCTTGTATAAAATGACAGTTCAGTTAGATTGGTCTTTAATCTCATTTCCAGGTATAAATTTAATATCAAGACTCTGGGAACTTGGTGGCACATTTAGCACACACCTGGCAACAGCTGCAGGTGAACTCTGTGTGATCTGACTTCAGCATGAGCAGCCATATCCTTGCAGGGCCTCATGAAATGGTGAAATACTTCTATAGAGAATAGATAGCAATCTAATTTCTGCTTTCAAATACTGAAGCTTGCTTTCTGTATAATCCTAAAAGCTCTAGAATAAAGCAAATCATTATAAAAAAATTCCTCTGTTAATGCAAGCTTTTTCTTCAGTTTGTGGCTGTACATTACAGTTCCCATGGAAGCACTGTTACTGTTGCTAGCATCTGAGTTTTACCCTCTGCATGCTGTACCTTCACCATGGGAAAGTGTGGAGTGAGTTGATGACTGGGAGAGCTGTCTCTAGGTATTCACAGACAAATCCATTCCCCAAAGAGCAAGATCAAGTGCTGCAATTAGCTCGCATCTATTGTGAACTAGAAATAACTTTCTATCATTTTCTGAGGATTTTTAATAAATATACTTCTCTAATCTCCTCAGATGGATTTACAGACTTAGAAAAAAGATGACTTGTACTGGTTTGCTTCTCTCTGATCTCTTATGAGTACTGTTTTTGTAATGGGTGGATGGACAAATGAATGAATGGGTGTGGATTAGACGTATATGAATAAAGGTGCAGACAGGCAGATGGATGTGCAAATGAATGGATAGACAAGTAGGTTAACACATCCAGGCAAATACATGTACACACATAATTTATTTTAAATATTTTGAAGTAAATTATAATGTGAACAAT